AGCCAGCCAATTCTGGGAGTCGAAGTCCACACATCTTCAAGTGGCCAAAGTTGAGAAACACTGGGCTAAATAATCTGAGGTTTGATCCATCTTTCTGTGTGTCTGCTTGAGCTTCTTGCAAGCAAGGTTTAGCTGGACTCTGGCGGATTGCAACTGCTTTAGGATAGATGAATGTGGCTGTACCAGTTTCACCTCCGCACCCCAGCTTCCCTGCAGCTACAGGAAGGCAATTCTTTCATGTAAGATCTCTTTGTGCAGACTCCCTTAATTTGCAAACCTGACCGGTCATAGTTAAACTTTATAGTAAGGAAGAGACCTGTAAACAGAGCTTGTCAAAACAAAGGAGCTGAGGATTAGCGGTATTGTGATGAAGGTTCCATCTCTCCCGCAGTTCCTCTTAACAAGTGCTGGCTTGCAAGGTTCCGATACCTTTCAGAGAGAGTGAGCATTGTAGACGGTCTTGGTGTTCAGAAGTTAAGGTTTTATGCTTTTCCAAGAAAAGGGATTTCTTTGGAATAGAGACTCCAGGAAAATGGGGTGGGGTGGAGAATTGTGCACCCAAGGCCGCATTCCCCAACCTGCTGCCCTCCAGATGCATCGGCCTTCTTCTTCCTAATTTCCAAATTAGGAAAGAGGCCTGGAAATTGAAGTCCGGCTTCTCTCAAGGGCACCAGGTTGGGAAGATGCGTTAGGCAGATCATGAGATGTACAGTTTGGTGCATTTTCAGCCCACTGTGCTAGGTTGTAGCCTGGGACAACCATGGGAAATAGAGTGGGCAAATCTGGCCCAGCTGGCATCACTGCAGAATCTTTGGCTTGGATCCTTGACCCCCAGCTGTTTCCCTCCATGTAGCTCCACAGACTTCGGGCCTTCCGGGTGGCAGAAGTCCTGTGGTGGACCAGCCAAGCAGCCGCTTGATCGAGCGCGATGTAGGATGCTGCCAGGGGCATCCCATGAGGAAGAACTGAGGGGGGTGTAGCTTTGGTGCAAGGTTGGTGCATGGATTCCACAACATTTATTGTCGTGCTCGTTTCTGGCTTCTTGGCAAACAATCTTGAGAATCGTGGCTTATGTCGTTTCAGTAAAATGGAGAAACCGGGTCTGGATTATGTCACGGGGAACTGCTGTGTAACTGTATGAAGGGTCATGCAGCGACAGGAAAGAGGCAGAGCTTTTGCACACGAAAAGCATGCTGCAGGGATTTTTAAAAATCACGTGTACAGATTTAAGCTTCCATTTGTACAATCTAGGCACAGATTTGCTGCCTTTCTCAGTTAAATTATTTATCTTCGAGACTGGAAGTGTTACTCTAGATCATTCGCTCCACAGGCTCTAGAGGTATTTTCAAAGGGGCGTTTTAAGTTGCGCAAGGGATATTCTTGATGTATTTTGTTGTCAATTTCCATGCAATATTTATTTATTTATTTATTTTGCCTTTATTTAAAGCTTAAACGCCTTCCAGGTTGTCTATACTTTGCGTGAAAGATACGGAATGCCATTTTTTTTTTAAACTCTGTTTTTTCTTTTTGTTTTCTGTATATTTGCAAGAGCTCCTATTCTAGTGAGGAAAACCTAATTTATGTGGTGGGAGGCTTCCAGACGAACGTGGGTAACTTGTTTGAGTTCTATAACCTAACTGAAAATGCCATCAAAGAACAGAGGAAGGAGAGCAAGAGGCTTTTAGACTTTTTCTGCACTTCTTTCTAATTTTGGCAAAGAACAATCTATCTTTGGAACAAATATGAAAGAACAAAATAGTCTCTGTCTGTTGGCAAGCAGTCTCTAGAAAGGCCTATTCGTGACCGAAGACCAAATCTTCCCAGTTCACATAATGGAGGAATTAGATGAGGAATCCCAAATAATTGAACCACCACGGAATGGGAACTGTGTGACATCCCCTTGTGGGTGGAGAGGAGAGAGTGGTTGAAGCTCTTGAGAAAGTGCACCACGGAGCAGTGTAATAGTTGTTCTGCGTCTGGTTATTGCAGCACCTCCTTTCCCAGAAGGCTCAGTCGGATTCTGTTTGGGGCAGGCGTTTTTCGTTCCTCCTCCCCTTTGGCTAACTGGGAAACTTAGAGGAGAGCACGGAGGCCCTCTGGTCTTGGCTCTCCCCAGCCTTTATGTTGGGCTTCTCTTGCTTCAAATACATAGGGAAGGGCAATATTATTTGTAAGCCCCCTAGGGAATGGCTCATGGCTTGTTTACAATGCCTCTCCCATTCTGTGTGGCACTGTTAATATAATGAGAATTGGCTGTTCGGTGTGTTTTTTTTTTTAAGTTTTGCAATTGTTTTGCTTAAATTTTCTTTTCTTTTTGTTTTGCGCCATGAAGGGACTCTTCTAGTTCATGAAATTCTCTTGCGTGCTCCCTGTTGACCTCCATGGGATGAACTTAAAGGCTTTTAAAAAATAACGCAGACATGAGGCATGCAAATATTTGCTTTACTCCACTTTAATTTGAGAGAGAGCGTCTGCTTCCCACCAAGTAAACAGATGTCTTAATGGTCTTCCTTGTCTTAACTCTGTTGTGAAAGTCAGTGGCAGCAGCTGTCTTTCAGGGCAGGGGAATTTGGGGCCATTGCAAAAGAGTGAAAGTCTTGGATCTTTATTGTGAAGTAGACCCTTTCGGTGCTCTGTTGCAATTGGACAGAATGTAAGTTTTCCCACTGTCATTCTTGGCAGGAAAAGCCAACTTCTGCAGTGCTGTTTAGGAGCCTCATGGATGCTTGAGAGGTTCCTCACCTCATGACCATAGGAAATACTGAAATTACAATTTGGCATTGGAAGCGCCATCTCTGCTTCTGTGTGCCTCCCAGATTCTCTCTTGCATGTCTTTGGCCTTGACAGCCTGGCTGTTTCCCAAGCAGCTGGGGGGGGGGGGCATTGAACCCTCCTGGCCAAACAAACTGCTTGATATCTGTGTGTGTGGTGGTGGTGGGGGGCGATGCGGGGTTGTTTCAGAGTGACCCTACAGCTGAACTGGGATTTGGGCAGGCAGCTTCTGAAGAGGAAGGAGGCAGCACTGTTTTTCGGAGTCCGCAGTCTCCTGGTCAAGCACAAGAGAAGCTCTTTGATCCTTGAGCTAGAACCCATGGTGATAATTCACACCCAAGGCTGGAGGGCTGGGCAGATTTTTGAGCAGGGATCACATGTGTAGTTTTCTACTTTTGAAGAATTTGGGTCTGTCTTGGAAAATGAGATCCTGCTTTAGGCCTCTCAGGCCTCATGACTGGACGTTAAAGGAGGTTCTTGGTCATAGCCAGCACTGAAGCCTGGGTAGAGCTCTGGGAACAAAGACTCTTCTTGGTCAGCCTTAAGAAGATGAGAGGTTACATCACGTTCAAGAGGCCTTTACTGACCATTATAAAAGAGCTTGATCTTCCTTGATCAGTTTTGTTCAGAAGCGTGTGGGATGACTTTGGACCTTTGGCTCCCTGAGTGGTCTTTATTGCAAGTGCAAGAGATGTGTATTACTGTCTCATGGCCACAGCCCTTGTTTCCTCACACAGACACCAAAGTGTTAAAAGGTTCTTCAGGAAGAGAAGGTCTTTCACCCTGCGGATGGGCCGCGCTGCGGGGGTTCTGGCCCAGAGTCGAGATCTCCACACCAGGGTGGAACCTGGTACCTTTATCCAGCTTGCGAGTAGCGTAAGTTGGACTTATACAAGTTGAAGCTCTTTATGCTGCTTAACAGGCTCCCTTGGAAAGTCAGACATGTCCACATTTCCATAGATGCGACGTTTGCATGCAATAGCACGGGTGGTACAGGGCACACCCCCAAGACCTCCGCTGAAAAAGTATGGCTCCTTTCATTTGTATCAGTATCTCCATTTATTTGGTACCTGTCTAACTTAAAAAGTGGGGTTGTGCTTAATGCCTTTCCCACCCAGTTGGTTCTGTAATTCTAGTGGCTCCTGCTTAGTTTTTCTTATTCAGGGGAAGCAAACGGCTTTGTTCAGGTGGTCATAACTCACCTCTTCCTGCTCTTCAACTAAATCTTAAGCGTAGCATCAAAGAAGCTGTTCGTGATCCTTCGTTTTCAAACGTGCTTTCTACCTGAGAGACGACAATTATATTATCCACGTGGACTGAAACTTTGCACTTTTTTTTTCCTGTTGGAAGTATTTTGTGTCTGGATTTTGATGTTGATTTAGTTAAAGTGTTAAGTTAATAAAATGTTATGTTGATAGAGGTGTGCATTCAGGCCTCTTTTTTAAAAAATGGGGCTGTACAACAGAGACCTAGAGAAAGAGGAGAAGAAAAAAAACCCGCAAAACTTTGTGGTGTTGTCATCTAACTAGGGAAAGGGGGCTGGTTAACTGTTCTTTTTTATTCCAGTTCAAGGTTTCTACAAAGCTGGTAGAGCAGGGTTTCTCAACTTTGGCAACTTGAAGACGTGTAGACTTCAACTCCCAGAATTCCCCAGCCAGCATAGGATGGTGGTGGGGATAATTCTGTGGCAAAGGCTGCGTTTGCATAACTTGCTAGACT